CCCCAAAACCCCAAAACCCCAAAACCCCAAAACCCCAGGGAATTTAAGAGATATAGAACTTTATCTTTAATAAATATTGATAAATGGGAGCTTATCAAGCAAGACCAACAACTAAGTGTGAAAAGTTAGAAGGATCAGTCGATAAGGTACCTGAAATTCTCTAAATTTTTTGAGAGAGGGTAGCCAATCTTTATTGAATTTCTTTTAGTGAAATCCAGCTTTTTCTAATTACCAGCCATTTGGCATATTTTTGGTCTTAGAGTAATATGAGATTAACTAACCTATAAAGGTGTTATTTTCAGATTCTGTTTTTCTTGATCTCTCGAATTCTGAGTTATAAGTAAGGGAAAGGTAAAGAATGGCTTAGAAATATCGATAATCGAGGGTATTCAAGACTCAGGATGATCCTGTCACATCTTCTATATAAAGTTTTCTAATACGTCCTAACTCTATTTATAGATAAGATATGGAGTCTGCTCAATGCAAGGCTGGAGGAAGACCATGGAAGATACTCACATTGTTGACACTGAATCTCTTGGAGAAGGTATTTCTCTGTTTGCCGTTTTTGATGGGCATGGAGGTACAGAAGTCTCTGAATATTTGAAAAACAACTTTGTTAAAGTGCTTAAAGACAATAAAAATTTTATTAAAAAAGATTATGAGCTTGCTTTGATTCAAACTTTCAAAGAATTAGATCAAAGTTTAATCACTCCAGAAGTTAACGATGAACTCATTGGGTTCAGTACTGCTCCAAAAGAATTATGGGAAAAGCCTGAAATTGAAGGAGTGGCTTACAGTGTCGGATCTACTGCTTGAGTTGCGCTTGTAACACTTGATGCAATATTTGTTGCCAATTTGGGAGACTCTAGGTGTATTATTTCAAAGAAATCTAAGGCATATGAGATGAGTATAGACCACAAACCTAACCTAGACTCCGAAAAGAAGAGAATCACTGCTGCTGGGGGATTTATTAAAGATAATAGAATCAAAGGAGTACTAAATCTTAGTAGATCATTTGGAGACATGGGTTACAAATGAGACCCTGAGCGTTCCCCTAAAAAGCAGATGGTTATCAATGTTCCAGATATATGAGAACAAAAGAGAACAAAGGATCTGGACTTCTTGTTCATTGCATGAGATGGAATTTGGGAGTGAATGACTAGCTCTGAAGTTTGAAAATTTATAGGAGGAAAAATAAAAAAGCATAAGAAGAAAATGGCGACTCTTGTGCAAGCTTTATTTAACAAAAACCTTGCTAATGATGTCAAAACCTCAAGTAAGAAAATATATTAACATTAATAGGAGGAAAAGGAACAGACAATATGACGGGAATTTTAGTAGCGTTAAAGTAAACAACTCCTCCATCACTCTTCATAAGAATTGCATCATGCTGAATAGTGACCTAACTAATTTTAAATTGAATAATACAGTTTCAGCTCTAAATGACAAATAAGGGGTTTTGGGGTTTTGGGGTTTTGGGGTTTTGGGG